CTTAAAAATGGGAGGTGAAAGGGCCTCATAAGTGGAATAGCCTAGGGCCTCTTTTCATCTAAATCCGGCACTGACTGCAGGGGTGGGTTCCGGCAGTTGCTACTGCTGGTTTACTCATGGCCACGTCCCCTGCGTACGTGTGCTACGTACACATGTGCAGTGCAATAAAAAATTGCTCTGCGCATGCGCAGAAACAAAAAACAACATGGCAGCACCTATGGAGCCACCCGGAGAACCGGGGCAGGGCAGGCCTGGGTTGCTGCTGGTTCCAGCAACCCAGGCCACCAAACCACTACCAGTTCGGTTGAACAGGTCCAAAACAGTAAGAAGCCATCACTGCTCTACAGGTTCATCCTGCAATAATTAAAAAGCAGCTCAAGAGCAAACTGCATAAGCTATTTCCTCATAAGAAGCTCAGGGCCAAATACTCACCCTCAGAGGTTTTGCCCCATCCACTCACAACGCAGAGCGTTCCGGCTTCAAATACATCATCCTTGTGGGGAAGACAGATAGGCTGTACTTCATAGCCTAAGAGAGGGAATACACCCGGCAATTTTAAATCAATGTTTTCTTTTGATGAACGCCCACAAATTTCACAGGGAAGATTTCATTTCTACATTTCTGTAGCCAAAGAATAGCTCAGGGGTACATCAATGCCACATGCAGAAGTTCCCAGATTTGATCTCCAGGTTTTTCCCCCCTCCCCATTTAAAAAAAGAATCCAATAAGAAATAAAAAATGTATTCCTAGGTTCCAGAGAATGGTTTGCCTCTACAACAGGGGTGTCAAACCTGATTTCATTGAGGGCTGCATCAGGGTTGTGTTTGACCTCGGCTGGCTGGGGTGGGCGTGGCTAGGGTGGGCGTGGCCAGCTCGACATCACTCGTGTGGTGGCCCGAGCGCTCTGCCAGCAAAAATTGGGTCCTGAGCTCCATTTTCAGCTGTCATGGCCTCCTGTAGCCCTCTGCCAATGAAAACGGAGATCCTGAGCATGTGGCCCTCCTGAGCTCCGTTTTCACTCACAGACGGTTGCAGGAGGCCATGACAGCCGAAAACGGAGCTCAGGACCCTGTTTTTGCTGGCAGAAGCACCAGGCCAGGTTTCATTGTTTACAGGGCAGTCCCATGGGCCAGATCTAAGTATCCCATGGGGCGGATCTGGCCCCCGGGCCTTGAGTTTGACACCCCTGCTCTACAGAGTCTCTCGCAGCTATGGCCACCCTTAACTCCCTTTGCAAAAAAAAAATCTAGGCCAGACCCCTTCTAGTGATGTCATAGGCTCTTCCCAAAGTTGGGAGGTTGAGTTACAGCCTTCCTCTCTCTCAAGCATTCCCCATTTTTGGCACACACTCCCACCATTTTCTTTAATAGTGCTTCGCTCGAGTCTCTTCTTACCATATTGTACCTGGTGTTTCAAAAACAGCAATGCTATATCTGAATCCATATGCCCAAATCTGTTGAAGTCAGGATGGACAACAATTTCAGAGACTGAGACGCTCTGTTCTTCTTCATCCCCACTGCCGAGATCAAACTCACCAACAGTCACAATCAGATTCTTCACAACTTTTCTAAAAAAGAGCGGAAAGAATTATTGTTCAGCCAGTGGGCCCTATCCTAAAGTATATGTCCGATGTAGTAAAATCAAAGTTACGATTCCTTGATTCTACATGGGAGAAAAACTCCCCAAACTTGCAGTGGTGATACCAAGCAAATTCAAGGAAATTCATTCAGCTCTCATTTGCTTGCAACAGCCTTTTCACCTGTTGGGCTTGCAAATCCCAGAATTTCTAGCAAGAAACCCAGAATTCCAAGGCTTCCTTCTTAGAAACTGGAATTCATAAAACACATGTCCAGCACCTGAACAGAATTGTTTTAATGTGAGAGGCATGTAGTAAAGATAAAAAGAAGCCAGTTTTGTCTGAAGACATTTCCATGGTCACGTGGCCAGCATGGCCAAAGGCAGACAGAATGCTGTTACCTTCCCACCAAAATGGTACCTACTTATCTACTCACATTTGCATGCTTTCAAAGAGCCGAGGTGGCGCAGTGGTTAGAGTGCAGTACTGCAGGCCACTTCAGCTGACTGCTATCTGCAGTTC